ATATCCGTTTTTTACGTCAATGCAGCTTGACACTTTCTTTGTTTTGGTCTAATTGTTCTAGATGTTTAAGATAGTTGTCTTATTGGCAAGTGCAGTATAATTTAACATTGTCATTTATTTACTTGATGTTGCAGAATTATTTGTAAATTTAAGTTGAATGTGGTCTCCGTCATTATAAACCACCCTATAAACCTCAAGGTTTTGGGGTATATCTTAAATCTGGGAACTACTTATTATTTTTATTAAAAAGTAGATCTGGCAAATAGATGAAAGGACTGGCAAAACTTTCTTACAGTACCTAAATTTCACATATATTACACAAAAATCTAAACACTTAGCCACACCTACCCCAACTATAATTAAACTGTAGGGTGATCATATGGGATCTAGAAAGGCAATAAGTTCCTGTCCAACTAGTGACACCAGCTGCAGTTTACATGAGTTTTGAGAAAATACAAAACTGACAGAACGTTTTAAACGGGACACAAATTAAATGTACAATTGCTTGTCAGTGAATAAACCAAATAAAACAGCTAGCACATATTCTACAAAGAAAGAAACACATTTGGGGTTGATATAATGTGATTATAACATGCCTAAATATTCAATATTGTGTTGATGAAAAAACCCAATACATTAAGGAGCTTGGTGGTGAAAAACCCAATTTGATATTTGCTTGAGGGGTGAATTGGAATTGATAATGCAATTAAAAAACTTTATCACCCAATTACATAAAAAAATGGTGGGTAAAAACCCCAATTTGTGAATTCTTATCTGGAGCTCTGCAACACTGAGGTTGTGAGTTCGAACCCCGCTCGTGCAGGTGCACTCGACGCCAATCTGAATTGACTAGGATTGTCAGTTTTCCTATCGAAGGTCATGGTTTTCTCCGGCTTCCTCCACCAATAAAAACAGGCCGCCACGAAATAGCCCAAAAGGGGTGCTTAAAAGTGGCGTTAAAACACCAAAAATCAAAATCAAATCAGAAACATATAATACCATACCACACATTTGGTATTAAAGAAATACCATGACCATATGCATACGAAGCAATCAAGAACCTTGCAAGTTTTGGTTAATTAATACAAGGTGTGTTTTATATGGGAACAAATGCTACAATGTACTAAAAAGGAAATGTAAAGATCAGTTATCAGCAGTGCAGTCTCTCATCCTAAAGAATATGAGGTTCATGTGATTTAGTCTCAGAAGCTGTCCAAACTGATAAAAGTGTCATTTTACCAAAGATCGAGGTACTATAATTTCCAAGCATTATTATTTCCATTCATCTTCACTGTACAAGAACTTAAGGTATGAAAACTTTCAAAACTGGGAGCTGCCAAATTGCTAATTGATAATAGATTCGAAAATTAGCAAGTTTAAAAGTTTGTTTGCAACATCGATAGAATTGTTCAATTGGTGATAATTGTTTCTATATAAAAAAAAGACTTTATTGAGGTCGAAACTTCGATAAAACGGATGAAATGTGCTGTACGTCATTATGAACTCATTGTTGAAGGCCGTACAGTGACCTATACATGTAGTTGTTAATTTCTGTGTCATTTGGTCTCTTGTGGAGAGTTAATTGTCTCATTGGAAATCATACCACATCTTCTTTTTTATATATATTGTATTGAATAGTCATGAAACATTTGCCACTGGACATTAAACAAATAAATACCAATCATGTACAAATAGCCAAGTGCATGACGTACTGTTTACATAAGCGATATTATTTGTAATTGCATATTCATAAAACAACAAACCTAGTTATTGCATTCGTGTTCTTTGTTGCCTCTTTAAAAACAACTTATCGGTGGTCTTTTAAACAGCACAAGCAATCATGCGACGATAAAAATAACTCTAGCAACCCACACCACTTCACTTGACATCGACACAGGAATGTACCAGTTTTCATTATTGCTATTTACCAGCACGTTTTTTGTTGCTGTGAACTCATATAATCAATTCCTTACAGAGAAGGTGCCAAACTTTACAAAGTTCTATTTGGTTTACCAGTTTTCCCACTGTCTTAAGAGTTCACGGAATTAATTTTAAATAAATCACTCTTCAATTAAGTACAAACATTGTTGCATAAAGAAAAAGTAAACTATGTTCTTATCAAAAGAATTATGTACATTCAGAACCAAGCATCACACATACAATCGTGTATAAAGCAGTAAAGCCTAATTGGAGCCTTAACTTAATTCTCTGCTTTGGGAGAGATACACAGCTGCATATCTTCATCTATACTATTAAACGAGAAGACTTCATTTTGTGTGTCGCTTATTCTCTTCCTTCCACAATAAATTAATCATCATGCCTCTGTGTCCTATAGGTACCAAAACCGTACCATGCATAGTCGCATTTATCATCCATTCTTATGATTATTCAGATTGAGTTATTTTGGGAGAAAAACGGAAACGAAAAGGCATCCGGATGTTGTTTCCGTCATCAGACTGACTTTTAAGTCATATATAAGATTTCCGGTTTTAAACTTTCACATGATTTTCATAAGAACTTGGAGAGAGGACACTTATTTTCGTGTTTATCGACATGTATACTATGATATATAAAGACTCTCTACATGTATATAATTATAGCAGTGATCGCTGTGGAGAAGAAACTTAGAATTGATATATAGTTAAAACAGAGACATTATACTGTCACATATAATATATATATTGAATTATATGTCTCTGGTTAAAAGCAAATACACTTTATTCATAATATACGTATGTTCATAGTATACAGCGGGCTTCAGATCACAATTAATTCCCTTTGTTCCTGGTCTTGGAATATAGTTCCCAATTATGATATGGGGTAATGCTTCCTATGTATTCTGTCTACTGTTTTCTTTGAAATGTTTACTATTTAAGGGGTCATATCAGTTGCATATATAAATAAGTAAATAGTTATCAAAGGTACCAGGATTATAATTTAATACGCCAGACGCGCGTTTCGTCTACATAAGACTCATCAGTGACGCTCAGATCAAAAAATTTATAAAGCCAAACAAGTACAAAGTTGAAGAGCATTGAGGACCTAAAATTCCAAAAAGTTGTGCCAAATACGGCTAAGGTAATCCATAGATGTAATATTACATGATGTCATCTATGGGTAATCTTTTCCTGGGATAAACATGTGGAAAAAATTTATTGTTGAAAGTGAAATTAGTGATTTGGCCAAAATGAAAGTAGGGTAGAAATTAGCCTTAGTCATTTATTCAAGATTCAAATCCTACCATTGGCAAGTTAATAGCTAGTGCTCTCAAAGAAAAAAGCACTGATGGAGTGTCCTAGAAGCATATTTTATTCGAATAATAATGGTCTAAAAGCAGTTCTATTTATTTCATGTTTGAAGCGGTGCAATTTAACTTGACTTTTACCAAAAAATGCATTGTAGCAAAGGGGAAGAATAATTGTGGTCTGAGACCATAACAGCGAAAATAATGGAATTTAACAGAAAGGAAACAAATAACGGACTTTTGAAAAAAGGCAGAGGGCTTTTGATACCTTTTCTGAAATTCTCCCGACATAAAATCTTTATAAAAATTCATCCTACAACAATTTACATACTTTAAACCAAGCTCTAAATCCCTGCAATTTCGCGGGTGTGTTCTAGTGTTAATAATTTGACAAAACTTCACAAAGTATATTTAGTTTAACAAAATGTTCACTACAGTTAGATTGATAGTCATGTTTTAGTCACACAAGACATGAGGTCCGCGTCTCTACCATTCTACATGTATGTGTTGTCCGGGTAAATATAACCCACTATTTTCACCAATGCATGTCTACCTACCTATTTTATATAAATTGCATTAACTGTTCTTAGTCATTTGATGGACAAAGCCAATTGAGTTTTAATATATATTTATATATAATGCACCTAATGATGAAGTGGGAATAGGAATATGGTCACTTTGGTCTTCTTCCGAAAGTTTGGCGTCGGTTTGGCTGTGCAGGATGTTTAATTTTCAACAATTGACAAAGTGGGGACGTCAAGTTTAAAGAGAGTGCCACTCTCTCTGCAGGTTAAGAATTATTTTGAGGACTCTTAAGGAAAACTAGTTTTAATAATGGGATTATCCTCTTGAAATAAAGATTATTTATTTATTTAAACATCAATCAATCAATTACTTTGAGGACTCTTAAGGAAGATTAGTTTTAATAATGGGATTATCCTCTTGAAATAAAGATTATTTATTTATTTATTTAAAAATCAATTATTATGTTAAATGAGCATGTCACCGGGCCTTTTAATTTAAAAAGATATAAGATATTCATGATATTGAACAATTATTCTGTGTCCAAACAATGGGGTGTCGGACTAGTGGGGCGTCGGACTATTGGGGTGTCGGACCAATGGGGCGTCGGAATAATGGCCCTTTTTTAACACCAGAAAACTGGGGTGATCCCTGAAAACAGGGAATACCCCACTTTTCCTGACGAGCCCAACCTGATGAAGGATTAATTATGTGCAGAGAGCATTGGCACTCTACATGAGGCATCAAATCATTGAAATATAATGTCCATATTCTGACTAAATGGCTGGGTACTTGTACATTTGACACAGTCAAACCGATGCCCCACTTTTGGCAAGTGTTTAACTCCCGGGTGAAAAAGCGAGAGAAGCTCTACTGAGATAGTCGAGTTTGGCACACCCTATTAGATAAAACAATTTTCTTTTCTATGGCATGTTATTTCAAATCGTTTTACACATTCATACCGGTCTACTCGAATCGAGAATCAGCCGAGTTCAGTCAATTCTTTGGTCAAACCAGAGACTTAATATAATAGGTAAAGATGCATGTTGAATGATGAAATCTTCTCTTATCTTTATTCACAAATGTATTTTTTATAAAGTGGTTACAAGTTTTCGATAGTCACCAAACTAAACTTGACATTCCGATACTGTGCCACACTTAAAACTTGATATTCATACTGCGTAACATATAAACTGTAGACATATGTTATTTATAAAGAAAGAATAAAACCTACCTTATAGATGAAATTTTCAAAAAAAACAATGTAATGTGTGTGAACAGCCGTTCAGTGTAACGTGTTTGCTAGAACATCAAAATGGATTCACCCGCAAGAAAACAATAGAAAATCCCGCCAATAGTAGCCAATGAAAAACAGAATGCATGTGGTGCAATGAACCGTGGAGGAAGGGGGTTTACCTTAATCTAATTAATTTATTTAATTGGCAAAAAAAATAAAAAATAGAGAAAAATGGGCAAACATAATAAAGAATAGAAGATAATCATGATAATGGAGTGCTAAAATATAAACTGAATAATTGGAAAAATTGGGAAAATTAAAGAATTGGATAAAAATATACCGATTACAGAAAACAGAGACATATAATATTGTATTATATGTCTCTGCAGAAAAGAACACGAATAACTGCAAAAATTAAAAAATTGGGTAAAAATATACTGATTACAGAAAAGAGAAAGTCCAGAATACAGTTATCAAGTAATTATAGTTTTAAAGATAAAGAATAATGAGCGAATGATTAAAAATGAGCGAAGAATACAAAATGAAGGACCCAGCTTATTCAGTGGCGGATCAGGAAATTTTCATAAGGGGAGCCCACTGACTGCCTAAGAGGAGGCCGGTCCAGTCATGCTTCCTTATATAGTCAACCAAATTTTTCTAACAAAAGGAGGGGGCCCGCTCGGAGTCCTCCTCTAAGTCCGTCCCTGTTATATATACCCTTGTAAAGGCTACTTTTTACAGTAAAACAAAAATTATCAAAAACACGAGATTAATATTGGAGAAGTGCTTCGAAATATAAATTTACACCATTTTTTGTTTACTAGAATAGACTGATTTTTTTTTTCTTTCATTACCACTGTTTATTAGATTTCGGTTGATTTTATATGGGCTTCTGTCGGAGTTACCGCCGTAAATTATAAAGAATCGAATGGAGCATGTATTTAGTTGCTCCGTCCTTGGAATACTTCAAAAAACCTATTATGAGCCAAGTGCAACCTCTGATAAAAAAAATAGTTGAACTTTTTATAAGGCAAGGAGAAAGAATATATTTTGTCCGCAGCAACACCAAAAATTTCACCAAAAAGAAGTTTCATAAAGAAAAAAACAGTTATAGCGTTTGTTGAACTTTTATATTTCATCACAGGGTTGTCAAAAGAAACAAATACTTAGTGTTCAAGTGTAACAGATAAATTAGTCCTAATAAATGTGTCTGGGCGGACAAATATTACCATTATAAAATGTCCATGGTTAAAGAATTTACTAGTATATTTAGTCGCGAGTCCGATGTCAGTAATTTATGTCCCAGACACATTTTCCTAAGAATTCATGTTCAGGTCATCAATATTTCAAGGTAAAAACGTCCATGTCCTTTATTTTACCCAGAAAATGTGAAATTAAATAAATCATTCACATGTTCACAATGGAGTTTTTAATTCTTATGTTTTTATGTTCTGTAACAGTTGTGCGACTTCGTCAAAAAGATCTCCCAATTACCCCAGCCAATTTGTACAATCGTAAAAATGGAAGCCATTATGCGGATGACGCGCTTCCAATTTAGCTCTTGAAAACCGACAAATTTATCCACATAGCCAGTGGCGGATCCAGAACTTTTATAAGGAATGGGGGCGCTGACTGACCTAAAAGGGGGGGGGGGGCCGCTCCAGTCATGCTTCAGTGATTCCCTATATAACCAACCAAATTTTTCCCACGAAAAGGGGGGGGGGGGCTGGATCCGCCTATGATAGCCCCATAACGACCCTTACATGCAAGTTGTATTTTAAAAGACATGTGTCTATCTATTAGCTTTTGAGCATCATTAAATGTACTTCTGCATTTAGTCAACTTAAAAATTATTGTCTAATCGGTTGTCAGGTGTAATTTTCGAAAGTTCGAAAACATTTAAAAAAATTCTAATTGAATATCTCGTGGAAAGGCAGACTAAAAAATTTCAAAGGTTGAAGACTAATAACCCTAGATAACTCACACATAAAATAAAGTTTTTTTTTAAGTCATACATTTCAAAAATCCACTTGAAAAGTCTGTCGTCAAGTACTTTAAGTAAAAATTTGTTATTCGAACACACCTACTCTGTATTTATGACTCATCGGAAAGGTATTTCACTTGACCCACATATTTCATTTTTTAGTACTGTAATTTTTTAATGATATTAAATCAACCTGTAGCCTAAAATATAAAACTAATAGAATATGATGCGAGATCATGTATCAAATATGTTTGCTTTATAAGTTTTCACGACAGAATGGTTAACTCAAACACGCCTGAAAATAGAAAGGTGCACTCGACTTTCTCTTTTTTTATGAAATTTTTGCCCCTTTTTAGGAATGTTTTTAAAAAAAAAAACTGTCGACGGGGGCAGAGAATCAAATAAAGGATATATTTTTCTGATGTTTCAGTCCCGTTGAAATCTCATTCGGGATTTCTTTTCCAAAACATGTGATACAAGTGGAAAATATCAATGAATTTTAAAAAATATTATAATCAAACTGGACTATGTGAAAAAATTGTGTAATAACAAGAAGTAGTTATTGAGATATATATATATATATATTTTAAATTTTTTAATAAGCAATCTGGCCAGTGTAATTAGACAAAATGTTTAAATTCTTAGATATGTATTTTTCAATCATTCATTACAAATAAGTTGATATAATATGTTTTTGTTAAAAAAAACTTAACTTTTAAAAATTTACAGCATGGTCAATTTGACACGAAAAAGCAACAAAATTTTATAAACTTTCTTATATCAACACGATCTATAATTCTTTTTTAAAGCTAGATTATTCAGATTGGTCCACTTCGTCTTCTATAGTCAAAGAATGAACAAAAGTTTAATTTTATAACTCTTGATTTTTTTTCATGATAATATCCCAAAAATGGGTAAAAATTGATGACAAATGGCGAAATCATAAAAATGAGGCATTTCAAATGGCCGAAGCAAAATAAGAAGTGCACCACCATATGATCTTTTCCTTCATCAATTACCTTTTTACAGTAACATAAATAAAAAAAATCAGGTAAAGAAAAAAGTCACAGATAAACACAGACGATGTGATTGCAGATTTCTCTTAATGTGTTGCTAATTTCATTTAGCAAGCTCTATCAATATCCACGTTTAATTTAAGATATATAAGCTTTTTAAATGTAGGAACATATACTAGTTTACTGAATTAGCATTAAAAAAGGGGGCAAAAGATACCAGAGGGACAGTCAAACTCATAGATCGAAAATTGAATGTAAATCTGATATTGTTTAAGGCAATTCCAAGAGCAGCTTTGTCAATACGATTATAATATAAAAAAGAAGATGTGGTATGATTGCCAATGAGACAACACCCCACAAGAGACTAAATGACACAGAAATTAACAACTATAGGTCACCGTACGGCCTTCAACAATGAGCAAAACCCATACCGCACAGTCAGCAGTTTACCTCAAGAGCTTGAATTTAAATAGTAATTGTACTAAAGTGGTCTAATTTTGGATGTTGAAAATGAGATAAGCACTGTTGAATGAATTAATGGGATCACTTCCAGGAGGAAGTGTTAATAGCAACAGCGCCTTATGTGTGTACCATATAAACCTGCATGAGTGTGGTGGTCTGAAACATCAACCAAATGGTAATGACAAAGAACTAACATGGATTGTCTGCTATATGAAAATATTATGGTCAAAGATATATAATTATATATATAAACGCCTAAAAAGTGTACACAACAACACCAATAACAAAAAAAGGAACTATAAATGTAATTATTTATAAATATTTCGGATAACAGATATCCTTCATCAGTAAATATGATTGTGATGTTGAATGAATCATATATCAGTCTACTTAGATTAAACTATACAAATCTTGAAATTTATACAATAAAAATGTCAAACCGAACATCAGGTAAGACGCTTGCACAATTCTAAATATGTGTTAAACACGACATAGGTTATATGACTAATTACAACAGAGAGTTCAAATATATGCTTTAAATAAAAATAATAATGTGCGATATGAACTAGCACAATTCTAAAGCTTTAACGGTGACGACAGTTATGATGTTACAAGAACGATTGCGTCAATAAGAATTCCAAATAAACAGCACTGAACGATCTAAATTTGTAAATATTTCAAATTTGACAACGGTAGAGTAGTTGCAACAGAGTCTGTGTATTTAAACATCGCAAACAAACGGCCGTTAAAATATATTAATAAATTTTGACTAAGGTTAACTAGTTGAACGTGGCTTGGTACTTTTACATCCCTCAAAAAATTAAGCAATTTAAATTGGTATATTCAACAGATTTATTTTAGAGATGAGTAAGGTAAAGAAATAGAAACAGAGACTGTAATAAAAAGTAATACAACCCAAATGTGAAGCACTGCATGGAGTCGAACTACATCTTTTCATTTATCCCATTTGGTGCCAAAGTTGTTAATTTTCTTATCCAAAATCTTTCCCGAGTGAGTCTATCCTCCCTAGACCAAGCAGAGTTGTGGTCAATGATTGTAATGGTCAGTCGATTGAGATCTGCCTTAGTGTGGCCAGGGGATCTCAAATGTCGACTGAGAGGGAGGTCTGGCTTGCATTGGTAGTCGCTACGATGACCGTTCATTCGTTTGTGAAACGGCTGTTCTGACTCGCCAACATACTGTTTACCACATTTACACTGTAGGAGATACACAACATTTGTAGTCTTGCAATTAACATTGCAAAATATGGTGTATTCTGTACCAGGGGAGTGACTGTTAAAAGTCTGGGTAACCAGTATTTGTTTGCAAGTCAGACATCGTTTGTTTCCGCAACCCTTGCAAGAGCCCACAGACGAAGAGCCTGCTTGAGAGGATAAATCAGCTCTCACCAGCAAGTCTTTAAGGCTTTTGGGCCTACGGAAAGCCAGTACAGGTGGCTCGGGAAAGATCTTGGATAGTTTAGGATGTTTTTCGATTTCTTTCCAATTTTCGCGGATTAGGTGAGATAAGTTGTCAAATTTAGGATGGTAAGTCAACACAAAAGGCACCCTCCTGTTGACCTTTTTGACTTTATATTGTAAAAGTTCATCTCGGCTGATGTTGTTAGCACGAGAAAAACCTTTATCAATGTCTTTTCTTTTGTAGCCTCGATGTTTTAGGTGACCGCGAAGTTCTTGTAGTCGTTTTTTTGCAATATCGTTGGTGGAGCAAATCCTTTTTATTCGTATGGCCTGGC